CCCCCCCCCCCGTTCGAGGTGTCTGGATCCACCTATGAACTTTCGGGCTCAAGAGGGGCCACTTTTGAAAAAAACTCATTTCAGCCATGAAACATAGCCTGACCACGGGCTTAATTTTGTTCTCCTGAACGCAGGTCACCACTGACTGTCCTGTCGTGCTAAGGAAAAACGCCGTATGAACATTCGGGAGTTGCCAAATTTCCCTTGATAAAACCAGTACTTTTGAGAAAATTCATGCATATTTTTCCTTGTAATTTTCAGATATTTTGGATTAAATTGTGTACACGATTTTCTGAAAATTTGAGATAATAATATTAGCAATTTCCCCAGTAATTTCGGTTTTTATCGGAGGAAACTTGGCAACGTCTGAAGGCTCATACAGCGTTCCTCCATAGCACGGCAGTATAAAGGCGCGTCCGTCGGTTGCCGGTTACGTACTTACATACCGTACAAGTCGGCTTCAATGCGGGTTGAGCAATCCAAGTTGAACGAACCCAGGTAGAGGCTCGTTATCAGTGACGTCGTCAGTGGCACCCACAGCGCCAATCAGGCAATCACTCTCCTGTCTCTCCGCCCTACGTTGCCGCATGTTACGGACATAAACGAATTTCACATCCCACTAAAGTCTCGCTGCGTCATATACCTACAGTGCAATGCGTCTTGGGCGCAAATGGTGCATTTTTAATGTGAACCATCAGCAGGCTGTTCATCGAAATTGATAGACAAGGCAATGGACAGAGGATGGACATAATAGGGAAAGTAGAGCGATCCCATTAGTTGAAACTGATGGTTGTCATGGACGTAGAGGAGGTGCGCCGCACGCGGATCCAAAAGCTGAAGATCCATCAGAAAGCGTTTAAATTTCAGAACCTGCAACCATTAATAGACTATCATCAATAAGCAGTCCTTCAGTTTAAGCAGTTTTTGCTTTCTTCTTACGTTCCTCGACGCTGCCGGCGGATTATTGAAATCGGTATACAAAGCGATAGACAAAGAAGACATAGGGAGTACGGAGCGATCCCATTGGTTGAAACTGGTGGATCTCATAGAGACGAAAGAGGAAAATGATGGACTAACTGAACCTAGGGTCTCCTGTCGATTGCCGTCAGTTAGTCTAC